ATGACTCGTGTTGTGAATCTTGTGGTGACTCGTGTGATGACTCGTGTGATGACTCGTGTGATGACTCGTGTGGTGTCTCGTGTTGTTACTCGACCGACGAACTTCGTAGAACAACTCAAATTCAAAAGTCAGTTTATATGTTCATGATAGCCATCTAGGCATCGACTTGTTAATGTAGAATACATTTTTGATACTAGTAGGCCAGTAGAAGTAGTATTTTTCGAACAGGTGTTTTTTTAACCCTCATATATGTAAAGACAGTCTATAGACAACTATTCATACGATCATATTTTTAAATACAAAGTGCAACACGTGATTTGATGACTGTTTACTAGGATGTAAATTCAGTTTTTTTGATATCGGAAATCGAGTTACGGTCCACTTCTCTCTACTTGTTAGGGCTTATTTAGAAGCATTCAATCTTTCACCAGAAATAATTGCTTATTTATTTTAGCATCTGTACATTTGTGATAACATTATTTACATAAATAGTTTAAAATTGATATTTGTTGTCGATTTTACTGTACGGAAAAGTTGTAATGAACTACTTACTTGCAGTGTTTGTTACGTTACTTGAAATTTCTGCAGTTGTACCAGTGACAAGTACAACTGCAACAATAATGCCAGCGATAACCGCAACAAGAACCACGGCGGCAGCTGTTGCTGTAGCAACATTGGTTGTGGAGGCATTCTTGCAACAATTGCAACGCTCTCGCTGCAACGGTTTTTACAAAAACAAAAAAATAAAATTAAAAGGCGGTAGTCGCCGCGCTACGTTTGCGCAACATATGTGTTGATAAACATAGATTTGTCCGCAATCCAATGCGCTCTTCCAATGAAATTATGAGTACGAGTTTTAACCTGGCGCGGCTTGCACTAATTACTGTCTATGATCCCTTCAATACCTTTCAATTACAAAAAATGATCTAATTAAAGCTTGGTAACCTCTCAGTTTGTATTCGTTGGTATGCACACCAGTCAAAGCCGCCATCTTTGTTTATATGAAACCCATATCTCGCGCATGCGTGGCGGACGACCACCGCCCTTTAAATCAGGAAAACTCGATAAGAGCATATATATTATACTAATTGTTCAATCACAACTCTGGGAAGGAAAATGGCAGAACATATTCAGACATGATCGTTTCAGAATGGGGAAGCGGAAATACGAGTAGTAACAGCCACAGTTCAGTGAGTGAAATTTCATAACACCAACAAATAACTGATAACCATCGCAAATATGTCCTGAATATATGACAGTTAAATTCCAATTAATAAATAAAAATAATTAAAGATAATAACAATTATTGTGTTCTTGGCTTTTGCTGTGTATAACATTTATGTAAAACAAATCAAATATGGCAACAATATTTGACTTTGATCATGTAAGTTATGTTTAAGATACTTAATATGGGTTACACTTAGACTTACGAGTTCTTTCAGCCCTTTTTTAAAATATTTCCATCTGTCAACAAAGAATGAATATAGTTTAATACTTGTATCAGTTATATTAAGAACGTGAAATGATTGATATGTGTTCCACGTAAATGAATGTTAACGAGTTTTGTTCATATGACACATGGCATAATTCACTTCTTCGGTCACCAACACGTTGCTCACTAATACACACTGGCACTTCAGCAATCAGCTGTAGCCACGTTGCCCATATTTAAAAAAAGAATACTATGTGTCTTACTATGTTAATGTGTTCAAGTTATTATCGCCCGGGAAATGTTTTGTAGTAAACAGTATAGCTTGTTGATAGGTCAGTAACATTGATGTATCGGTGAATCGGAAATAGATCGTCATGAAAACATTGAACCATGTCATACTCCTTTGCTAACTAATCTTGGGAGAAAGGACATTTTGGTTCAATAGTAAGCCTGATCGACACAAAATCCATCACAAACCGTTAAACACATTAGTCAATCACTTGTTTTACATGAATATGGCTGGCGGAGGTGCCTGAATAATTTGCACTTCAGTCGATGGTTTAAACATGTGTGTAAGCATATAATTGTTGTGCCGTTGTTGTGCATGTTGTGCCGGGTCATCCCACTTTCATGTACTCACATATCTTCTGCATTGTCAGTGATATCCTCCAGTGAAGATGTACCATTAGTCTCGCCTTCCTCCGCCATGTTGAGTACGCTTATGCAAAAGGGAGTAAAATAGATAATCTTCTTATTGAAAAGAAATACCGTCTGTATGCAAATTCGTAGGACTATCAAATGTCAAACTCCCACGTCTCCCCATAAATAAGCAGGTGAAATGATGCACTTCTGAATTCGCTTGAATTCGTGCATTACAACACTAACAGCAAGTAATACACTCGTCGAATGTGAGAATGAGGTAAACATGTTTAAACAAAACATTGAAACTTCCGTCAAATAAAGTATAAACAAAGGTTTTGCATAATGCAATGTATAGATGATAATTGAACAAGCGATTGTTAATAAACTGCATTCAAACTGTCTGTCTGTCTTGACATGTTTTACTGAAATGCCATCACGTAACTCTTTACGTTATGCTTTATTAGTTATTAAATAAAAATTGTGTTGATTCTGTTATACAATATATATAATTATTATACATATGTCACCGTAACGACATAAGTTACAGCGTGCGGTATTGCACTGGGTATTTTCATCCTGTCATATTAGAAAACGGGAATTCCAAATATGGAACGATTACGGGAGTAAGCGTCTTCTAATAATACAAAAAAAAACATGGCTGCCACAGGGTTTGACCGGACCCCACACAAAGAAGTTTGCTCAATCTATTATAAACGTTTGGATTTCGGCATTCCCATGATGTATTCCTGGGAGAAAAAGATGTATAATACTCGGATATATACATTCAGACAGTACGCCGTCACATCGACACCCGCTACACGTCGGTCGATACACCGCTGTACTGTCTTCGTGCAAACTTCGCAGTATCCTCGTAATAACTTCATAATATATACAGTTCATACAATAATAATAAATATATACAATTATAAAATTGTTTATATGAATATGATCGAGTCTTGATTGAAATGATCCAACTTCATATGAAAATGTTTGCTTACAGCTGATTTTTAATCCGTGTCGACACGGCTTATCAGTTACTAAACCTGTAGGGTAAACAGGCAATGTCAATAGAGTAAACAAGGTGTTAAAATGGATTAAGTACTTGCAAATCAAATTCAGCATGGGTGTGTCTCTACCGCCCGTTTTTCGGTTCATTTAGTGTACTTTTTTGAATTGGATTCAGCATCTCTCAAACCCTAATATTATATGCAATAACGTAAATACACGTTTTCCTCGTAAAGGCGTGTTGGCTGTTCCCTCTCTCGACTCCCTCCCCGCGTGTACTACCAACTTTTCCTATCAGGTCTTCACGGGTTAAAGTACTCATTTTTCCCTATTTTATCGCTTTTTCATCGCCCGCTTATTGCTTAATTTTCCGACTGGAAAACCACCACATTTTTACCGCTTTCTTTTCTCGCTCGCTTATTGAAAACACCGACCGCTCGCCCAAACACTGATCACTTGCGCATGAGTGGTCGAAATGGTGGTTCTAATGGTAAAGTTTGGGAATACAACGAGTATTAACTATTATTAATCCCATAACGAATCAAATCTATGGCATTATGACGATTTGTATCGTGCGCGAACGCAACATGAACTGTGACCTTTTGTTACGTGAATGGACCGTGTTCCACAATATGCTGATGGACCGGTACTGTGTTCCGTTTGAATCGAACAGAGCTTGACATAAATAAATAATTTAAAAGGCTTCATAAATAAACGTTATATGTTAAATTTAGTATATTTGGAGGCTGGTCAATGAACAGTTTGTTCTGTTGAAAATTGGGGACTTATCTTTTGGAGTTATCACCAAAAATAATTTACGTAATCGGAATAAGCAAAAAAAAAATGATTTTGTGAAATTCGCTGTATGATGTACTATTGTATCATCCATTTTGTCAACCGAACGTTACAACCCTGCTAGTGCAAAGGTTAGTTTTATTCTTCCGGGTTAATTTAGAGTTTTGACGACGGATTTTTCACAAATGAGATGAAATTATCACGTCTAGAGGTAGATCGTTAATGGGTGAAGTGATGTTTAAAAAAACATAAGTTGGTCATAGTCTTGCATACATCGCAACAGCAAAGGATTACTTTTCAACACGCATGATGTAAATGTTGCACTCTGTCCATCAGTGAAAACTTCGCCCTTCCCAAATCTGATACCCTGTTAGTTTGATAGTACCATCTTTGTATGCAGTTGTGATCACCAAAGGCAAATATTTTAATATTATGGAGAAGGCTATTGATCATCAAACTTATCGACGCATCAGTAATATCTTCAAACGAACTAACACGACAACGTGTTTTGGGGTGCAACGCTGACGGATATGTTACCTTATGGTAGCAATGCTTTATCCGAGGTGTAATCACCAAGATAAATCAATCCGCCTGTGATTAAAAACGTCCAGGTTTGAGTTTCATCTTGGTTCATTTCGGGGGGGGGGGTGTTTGTTCTTCATCTCTTTCTTTCTTTTCAATCCGATGATTCTTTTTTATCATGGTTCAATGTAATTCATGGCAAATTTCTCCATCTAATATTGTCATAGCACTATATCATATTTTGTTATCCCCATTTTATTAGTGACCCGGGGGATTGGCACAGCGGGTGTCGACCGATCTGAATGGAGCGTTTCGAAGTCGAAAAAACACAGGCTCTTAAAACAAACAGTTTGACGCCCCAATTTCTTGATGGAGCCTGAGTTCTACCGTGTTATTATTGCGTTCACACACACACACACACTGTGGCTTATCGAAATGCTTACTAATTAGGTAACTTGTCACTGATAAAAGTTACTGAGCAAATGTTGAGAAATGTTGTGCAAAAGTACGCATTCTCCATGAATTTCGCAACTTGTTATGATCACGGTAAAGAAAAACCTGTCGTTATTTTCAACAGTTTGCTGGATTCTGGTCAAAAACGCGCCTCAAAAACACGTTTACATCAGTTTTCCGATATTTATTTCAACTCTTAGTGATAAAATAAGTCAAGCATTTGAAACAGTTTCACTGAAATGACGAGTTTTTCATTGCTCATGAATATTAATTTATGTAAATGAGACGATTTGTTTTTCAACCAATCACGTCATGCACCCCCGGTAGTGTCAATTAAATGAGAGCATATTCTGAAGCGAGGCAGTGCTAATGTTTATGGTTGATCAATCAATCAATTCGATTTGTATTGTTAGCTGTTAGTAAGCAAACGCATATAAATATATATATTCGGATATTTATCTGAGCTGAATGGACAAACAAGCCGATGACATCTGTTTTACATCTGATTTACATGACACAAGCGTTTCGCCTACCTTTACAATTGCAGTATTTATTTATATATAGTGAATAATATCTATTGGCAACAAAACTTACTGTATGTCAATAACCTGTCTGCATTTCGACCGGCTGTTCCACTTAAATGCTGGTTGTGTTGGGAAAGATTGTTACTCATAAAATGTAACATTGCTCTACTTCTCCACATTTTTATACAATTTACCACACATAAATAATGATTCAAATTTTGGGACAAGTGTAGATACGTTTCATTTCCACAAGCCATGATTTTTTTTTTGCTCTGGGGACATACTACAATAAGGCCTGTAATTGTTGTCCATGATTTGCATAACGGACAACGTGGTAAACAATGTACACAGATAACCTCAAAGTGCGATGACATTAATATGATTACTGTATGTTCTATCAATATTTAAAGCAGTATACATGTTAACGACAAATGTTTAATTAGATGCGAGAATTTGGTAAATAACACAATATGCTAAGCAATTATACAGTGTGAACTGCCTAGCAGGGGATATCGAATATTGTCACAGTCGTTAAAAATGTCACAGACGATTTTTTTTAATTCACTTTCTAAAAAACAAACAGCGTGTGGGACACACGTGATCATATAGGTTTTGGCAGATTAATAAGGTTCATACAATACAACTATCAATTGAAAATAATGTACTTTATATTTTATGGAAATGGAATTGGTTTGTATATATATATTCAGCACTTAGTTGGGAATTGCTATTACGGTAAATCAGAGAAATGAGTCTGGAACAGCATTAATTCGTACAAAATGACTGCCATTTTATCATTTTAAATCTAATGCTAAAAGCAAAATGGCATGCATAAATGACTCTTGATGTCCGACTGACAAAAATCTGAGGGAAATGCTTGATTTTGATGAATTGTAGACATTTAAAAAGCCTCTACTTAGCCATTTGTAATCTTATGGTCAAACAAATACAGGTGTCTATGTACGAAAAAACCGCCTTTAGACTGATGGTTGATAATTTCTGGGTCACAATTCCCAGTTCATTGAACCATTTGTACACATGTCAGTCTTTGAATTGGAATAATTACTTTTTCGGAATAAATCGTCTAAAAGGTGTCAACTATTGAATAATGGTATGTTCTAAAATTGTCCTTCTATTATCGGAACTACTTTGATTAGAGCAGTTTTTATGTCTTTCGCATGCTCATCGACTTGACATCATTGAATAAGACAAGACACATTCGATGTAGTTTGTTTTTGTGGAGAAAAACGCAAATACGTTTCAAGCACCATATCCATAAGCCAATAGATTACATTTGTGACACGTATAGTATGCAATTGTTTACATTCAAACTATTAGTCTGTACACATAGGTGGGCGTTAGATTGCTTTCGATTCGTTGCACTGCAACATTCGCGCCACCAACTGACTTGTTATTCCTTCAATTTACTTATTTGGCGTTTTCTTCTCAGGCACCATCAGTGAGTGAATGCAGCTCCGACATGGTCAACGTGGGTCCTTGTGATGTATGTTGTCAGTCTGAACGAAGTCGTTAAGCAACATAACACTTTTGAGCAGTTATGCCAGTTTGTTACATTCTTTTTTATTTATTTCGTCTATCCAAATCAAAAACGTCTTTAAGGAACTACGACAGGAAAGCATAGCATCTTTTTGACAAGGTTGTAAAAACAAATAAAAAACAAAAAAACAAATACAAAATAACTATGCTGTTTTTGAGAGTCATTTATGTCATTTGTATCACAGTTACACACATATTTATGCGGGCACATTCATTTCAATAAAATATGACCCTCCATGAAGAGATCTTATATCCAACACCACGTACCCTCGTATACACATATTTGTACGTAGTTAAATTGTACATTTTTATTAACAATCTCTTGATGCATCTGTTTTCGGATTTGGTTGTATTCGTTATGTGAACATTACAAATCAGTTTTATAAATGAATATATCAACAATAACTCTAAATATATGTAGTTCATAATTAAATTAGATGCATATTCAAAACAGAAAAAAATAACGAATAGATCAATTATATTATACAACATTTATATGCACAACATCTAAAACTAGATGTTTGCACGATATTACAACACCCAAATTCGCCTGACATAATCTATTAATGTATCCTTAAAATAAATAAATAGTTGAAAAAATGAGCACAAATGTCAGCTGTATCGAAGGAATGAATCTCGCATTAGAAAAGCAATTAAACAACATTCTACAATATTATATTCTGAATTATTACAATTCTTTCAACTTATATGCATAACCTTTCACCTGTTACAGGTTTAAAGAACTTAATATTTGCGAACAAGCGAAATCAGATATTGAACTAATCCAACTAACAATTGCTAAAAACATAATCGATGGCGGGCGCTTTACCGACAGTGTAGTGAACGTATTACACACCATATATTCTCCACAGATTTAATGAGCCTATAACTTGATAATTTTTATTCATCCAAACACGTCATGCTGTAAAATAAATAACAGTAAAATGAAAGAGGAAATTTAAAGTTGTAGTTAACGACTTCCTAATCACAAATTGCGTTTTATTGTTATATCGATTCACCTAACAGAAATGGGCAATACCAATACTGTGCAATATACGATGAAGAAGTCTTTCCGCATGATTTGCATGTGCTCGGAAATCCACCAATGAAATTGAACATCAAGAAAACAAGTGGATGTTTGGAAAGCTCAATTTTGGAGAATTGATTAAATTATGAAACGTCTGAGCCGTGTACACCCACTATGCAAATAAATTTGCAAAACAAGTGTCAGATGTATATTTACTAGTTTCACATTGAAACACTAAATGGAGGAAATAGGTTCCATAGCCTTAAGCTTCTTACAATCAACGAGGTCTCGGCAGCATTTGCATATAAGGTTAAAGGTGTTGTTTTAAAAGTCGAACTGAACTTAACAGAACATTACAGAGCAAAATACATTTGTAAATTTTAAAAACGTGCTGTTTTAACAAACAAACAAACAAACAAATATCTTCTCACCTTTGACAAATGTATCCCTTGCTACGAGAACATGCAGCATCGTCCCATAGAAAGTCTCGAGAAGTCCTGTACAGTGAAGTAGTTATGATATATGTAAATTACCTCGTGTTTAGGAATAAGGTAAGCAGATATATGTAAATTACCTCGTGTTAAGGAATAAGGTAATCCGTTCAGGTGTATACAGTATTAGGTATACTCGTCACAAGACGAATGAAACGTTTTAAACTAATACATTTGACATGTATTCATATCCTATACTTTGTCTATATTTTGATTATGTTCTTATTATTCTTATTTTAATTTTCTTAGCTCGGGTGTTTAATGTGATATCAGGATAAATAATTGGAAAGATACTACACTTTTTATGTAAGTTGTGTTCTCTAATTCGGACACATTTTTGCCGTAAATGATTGAATGATATCTATAGTTTAGTTTAATTTTATCTGTATTCTTCCTCAAATAAACACAGTCGTTTTGTAGGATTATTACTGGGCAAAAGACAGCGCTATCTTGAGAGCTCGAGGTACTTTCCGCGAGATGATGAGCACGCTATCAGACGTAGAATTGACTACGAGTTCAATGTGGCACTGTTGTAATTTTCATGTTTTTATAGTTTAATCTCAGTATATGTTTGATTCTTAATCAATTATAATCGCTTCTTTCTTGACTGAAACATAAAAACAACACACTGGAGTAAAACGCTTGTTAAAAGTGCTTAATTTGTATCAACATGTTTTTGTTTTGTTTTTACTTTTCGTAAAAATGTTATGCAGATAGTTATTTAATATTGTTGTTCAAGCAATGTATCTGGCTCAGATATGAATTGCTTTTCAACAGAGGTAAAGACAACTGTAGGTTCAATTGTGTATTTTTGTGTAGCATATGAAGTATTTGAAAATCATTGCCACAGATTATATATCAAATATAAGGTGATCTAAAAAAATTGTATTCGTGGTATGTTTTTCACACAAGAAGACTTGACAAACTTTTAAGTGATTGAAAAAGACTAAAGAGTAGAATTTTAAATAAATGCAAAACTTGAAACAGAAGTAAAGTAACAAATTTTCACAATTTATGTTTTTAATTTGTTCACAAGACCATCGACCAGTTAGTACATAATAACGCATTACATTACAAAATAGTACACATGCGACATCATATTGAAAATAACATTGTTTAAATGTATATATTTCTATGTGCAAATGCTGTTTCAACGAGCTATTTTCTTTCAAATACGATTCTTTTTATACTTACCATAACTGACCACAGTCTTGATTTCTAAAATTATTTGGATTGCCTCGTGACCAGTTTGTGTAAACGAATGGGTCACCGTTGATCCATATGTAACTCCCTTCTTGTGAAATGTCATTGAGTCCAATCCAATAGTCAACCAAACCATCGTCTATGTTATTATCTATGATGAATTGTATGACGCCATCGCTGACTGAACTGGTGCTTAATGAAGCCAGCACAGCGCCATTTTGTTGACAGAGCGTGAGAGAATTTTCCCATGAATGTGTGTCGTTATGAAAACTGTATCGATTGCAACCAATATCAATGTACCGGCGATCTGATCAGATTAAACAAAAATCAATAAATAAGTCGGATAGCTGGCCGTTTGGTCATTTTATTGGTTAGTCGGTGGGTCAATGGGTGGATTGGGGGGGGGGTATGTGAGCGTGCGAGTTAGTTAGTATGTAGCTCAGAAAAGACTTTGCAATCCTGACGTCACACTGAACACTATTGATTGATTCTCTATTAATAATTATAAACATCCAAGACTTTATTGACAATCGCTACCATTTCGTGTAATCTTATCAGTCTATCATACCTGGATCAGTGAGGTTGGGATCATTGCGGTGGATGAAACGTGCGAAGGTATAAATTGTGTACTGATGGCATCTGAAAGTAAAAATAAAAACAAACTGTGACATTTTATGGATTGTAGCAAATATACCTGTACACAATACAATACACACCAGAAGCAAATATCCGCCGCGAATGCTGGGCAATTATTGAGCACCTGTGACATGATAATTTGTAATACATTTCTCCATCGGTCCATGGACCACATTCCCGGAAGTCGAAGGTACGGCGTTTCACATGCGCGCGCGCATATCGTTTTTGGGTGTAACGTAACGCGTGATATTGTGTTTCTTGGTGTACCAATCGACTTTAAGTTCAATTCTATCGACTATCCATATGATAAAACAGGAGTATTACTGCACCCCAGTTTCACTACTTCCGAGAAAGTGGTATATATTCCTTTGATTAGTAGTTGTTTTTCAGTGGAAATTTTAATCTAATTAAACACCGTGATCGATTTGAGTAACATTGCTCTCAACCATATACGTAATTTTCTGTCACTAGAGGGCGCATTTTTAGAGTGGATCAATTCAGTTATATCCTCAGGGGCGAAGCTACGTCACAAGACGTTCCACGTTGCTAAGACGCGCACCACTGTACCACGCATTTCTAAGGGCTCTGCGCGCGCTGCTGGAGGAACGCAGAACGCCGAGCGGGGGGGCCGGTGAAAATTAAAGAAAACAACAGGAACTCAACTTTAAAGCAATCCTGAACAATCAAATTTATAAGCGTTATACACGCAGGGGTAACCTTATTACACTGCTCAGGGGAGTCTCAACAACCATCCCAAAGTATCGTTTTCTGAGAGTTTTCGGCCTTTGTTTTCACCGTGATGGTTGCCATACGGTGAAAATGCCCGGATGTCCGCTCCTGAGAATAGTTCACTTTTACTAAGTAATACATTTGAATGTATTTTAAGAAACATGAGCACCAAAAACCCAAATATTATGCTTGTGTGTATATTTATATTCAATATTGTACAGCTTTACTAAAAAGAGTAATTTAAAATATCAAAACATATTAAGTATATTATATACACAGTGGTGTATATTTCATGTATAATAAACAAATTGCGCCTAGATCATCACACTTGCGGACAGCACGTTCCTAAAGAACGGGACGTTCAGTTTGTTTATATCAAACAACAACGTAACATAAAAAATAAAAACTGTTATTATTAGTTTTATTTACGTGGCTTACACATTGTTTAACACATAACCACATTAACAATTTGAATTTTGAACTTTCCTGACTAACTACAAAACACAAATTTCACCAAAGTGAAGACAAGACCGTCTACATATAGACAATGCGAACAAGTATTTTTTAGGCCTTCGAGTGAGAACGAAACTTATTTCATTCATACCTCTCGATACTCATGAGAAGTGAATTGCTATTTTGAAATTATCGCATTTTTAACTGCGGCAGATTATATTTGGGTTATGTTTAACAAAATGAAATACCAAAATAGCGAACATCTCTGGCCAACGGAAACTGACATGCATGCGTTTAGCTTGTCTTGTTTGTCATCAACTTTTAGTATGTTCAAAACAAAGTCGTGTTTTGTCATTGAGCTGCGACATTTAAAGGGTGGCAGTCGTCGCGCCGCGTCCTGTTCGATATGGGACTCATAGCGACGTATACAACGCGTGTAAAATACATTGTTTATTTACATGAAATTCGAACACGCGCTGCGCGACGACCACCGCGCTTTAAATGATTATTTTCATTATTCAGTGGACACCGTGATGAATATTTTGTTCAACAACAATTTGGATTTACGGATCATGAACCAAATACTAATGTGTCCATGATTAGAATGTGTAATTACTGTCAACCATTGTTTAATAGAATTAACAATAATAATTGCCCTCTCAAAAAAAATGTCCATTTCAATTTCCATTCTCTACCGCCATCGCTTTTGCGTTCACTGTTGTAAACACCGTAGTTACATACGTCTGGATAACAGTGGATTCGACCATGAAAAAGAACGGATTTTTTTTTGCGACAGAAGGCACAGACAATACACCGTTTTTCGTTCATTGCGTGGTATTCGACAAACGCGAAGTATTTTGAGCTTGTTTCCATACTCAATAATGTGCTGTATACATATACTGGTGTTTAATTTTAATTAAATCAGAATATCTCAAAGCCGTAGTCCTGTCTGGAAGACCGGCAGTTCCGTGTTGGTCTATAAAAACGGAACTTCAAAGTTCAAATCATTGAAATCGTTCACGCAATATACGAAACCTCACAGTTGAACGACAAATCACTTTATTTGTGTAGCCATCTCACATTTAACGAGGTCACAGCGATCGATTCAGAATAATGTATGCCCTATCACCTGAATAACTCATAAGAATATTGTAGAACAAATCGAGTTACTTACTACTTGTCCATCCTAGTGTAGTAACTTCGCTGCATTTATCGAGGAAGCTAATAACAATAGTGATAAGAACTAATTAGTAGATGCAAAAAAGGTAAAAGTGGTCGCGTGAATCAAACTTTGTTCTAATCTTCAAAATTGCAATGTACGCTTCGATAGTCTAAACGCACAATTGAGCCGTGGGCCACTAGTGTATACAAACTACAAAGCTTCTATGATTCAACACGTTTCATTCAAGAGATTATTAGCAAAGAATAATTACGTAATTGAGTGGAATAAAACACCCTATTCGAATTATAGAGTTCAAATAATCCGGAATTCACTTTGAATGGAATGGAAATACCCTGTATCGATTATTCATAAGATTTTTTTACCGGATTTAACCTGATTTGCAATACTATCTTATATATATATATATATATATATATATATATATATATATATATATATATATATATATATATGTATATATGTATATGTATATGTATATGTATATATATATGTATGTATATAAATAAATACGATTAATCTGCAAGCGCTTAAGGGGACTACTAAAAATGCATAAACAAGACGACATGTCTGTCTTAATGCGCATGCGCAATGGCAAACGGAAATTACATCACCTCAAGAGATCTCCACCGACTATCATCAAGGTTGCATGCTGGGAATGAGTAAAACACAAACATACCTTTGACATATGTATCCCTTGTCACGAGAACATTTAGCATCGTCCCATAGAAAGTTTCGAGAAGTCCTGTAGTGTGAAGTAGTTATACAAACTCATGTATATTACGTATCTTGTATTTACATTGTATACGGTTATCACTCATTATTCAAGTGACACATTTTAAACCAATTAAATTAGTTTGACATGTATTCCTATCCTAGTGTATGTGTGTTTTATTAGTTTTTATTATCTTTTAGTTAACTTTGAAAAGTATTTGTATCCCCGAATTCTTTTTATATTTATCATAATGTGACAGAAACTGTAACGCCACCAACTAATTCCTGCAAACCGACTATTAGTTTACCGCAGGGTTCGGCAATTCGAGCAATATTTTGCATTCATATCGATGACCTCAAAACTTCATTTCAACAAAGTCACATACAAGAAGAACCAAAATGAGTGTTTTCACATGTCCGCGTTGCACAAAATGTCAATAACGGTAAGTGAATTTAAACTAAATGTCAAAATAATCCACGGCAAGACTGGTCAGTAGAAATAGATACTAATCGCAAACATGAGACATGTTAATTTTAAATAAAATTTGTTTTATGCAAATTATCTTAATTGTAATTTCGTTACACCGAGTATAGCTTAGCTATATTCACAATGAGATTATACGCAGTTCATGATTGAAAAGGAATGTTATACAACGAAACGAGCGAGTCGAAATTAAAAGGTCAAGCGACCATCCATGATTGCTGAATACTATTATACTCAGTCTACTATGTGGAAGTTTGTTAATTAATTACGCTTACCCTAACATACTTAAAGAAATTTAAATAGCATTGTTTAAATGCATATATATCTATGTGCGAATTCAATTTTAAATGAGCTAATTTACTTTAAATTTTATTTTTATCAGCAGAAACTTAACATTTTTCTTATTATTATTCCACGTTTTTATTTAACTGGTACAGTATTTAAAATCAACATTTTAAGTCGGGTTTGTTCTAATACAAATTGTCAGCGGTTTAAAAAAGTCACCTGTTTTCATACGATTCTCTTTAGACTCACCACAACTGACCACAGTCTTGATTTTTAAAATTATTCGGATTGCCTCGTGACCAGTTTGTGTAGACGAATGGGTCACCATTGATCCATATGTAACTCCCTTCTTGTGAAATGTCATTGAGTCCAATCCAGTAGTCTACCAAACCATCGTCTATGTTATTATCTATGATGAATTGTATGACACCATCGCTGACGGTTCTTGTGCTTAATGAAGCCAGCACGGCGCCATTTTGTTGACAGAGTGTGGTAGAACTTTCCCATGAATGGGTGTCGTTATGAAAACTGTATCGATAGCAACCGATATCAATGTACCGGCGATCTAAATAGGTAAAACAAAATCATATCAACCGGCTAATAGACCATTTTTCTCCACTGCGAGAATCACGCGTTATGCGTGAAATCGAGCGTAAAAACAGGACAAACAAAGGTCATATCGTCGTAGTGGCGTCAAACATCGCGTGGGATTCGACAAACGCGAAGTACTTTGGGGGGCATTTCCATGCTTAATAATGTGCTGTCCACATTTCATGATAGGCAATTTCAATTAAATGAGGGTATTCGGAAGCAATATTCCTCTGTCGAAGATCGGCCGGTCGGTGCGAGTTACAAAATAAAAAAATTCTAGTTTAAAATCAAATCGTTCGACTTTTGCGGCAGACGTTCGACGCGCGTCTTTCATACATCTCGCGAGATCTCGCAATTGTACGGAAAATCACCTATTGATCAATAGGTCAGATAGTTGGCCGGTTGGTTGTTTAACCGGAGAGTCAGTTGGTGGTTGGTATGTGTGTGGGGGGGGGGGTCTAATGAGCGTGTAAGCAAGTTAGTATCTTTGTATCCCCGAATTCACATTGGCGCCGCTAGTCAGTCTTCAGTGGTGAATAATTAAGAACATCAATGTTCTTGTTAACAAGGCTAACATTTCTTGCAATCCTATCGTTACATCATACCTGGATCAGGTGTAGTTGAGACCATTGCAGTAGATGAAACGTGCGTGCTGATGGCATCTGAAAAAATAAAAAGTACAAACTATTATTATACTTCTGTCAGCGTAACGCCACAAGTTACAGCGTGTAGTAATTTTGTGGTATTGCATTGGGTATTTCTATGCTACCATATTAGGAAAATTCGAATTCCAAATATGGAACAACTACGCGCCTAAGCGTTCTCTAATAATAAAAATAAACAAGGCAGCCCCAGAGTTTGATTAGACCCCATACAAAGTAGTTCGCTCAATCTGTTCTAAACTTTTTTTTGTATTTTGGCATTCCCATGATGTATCTTTGGGAGGAAAAGTTGTATAATAATAGGTTATTACGAGGATACCGCAAGTAGGCTTTCAGACAGTTCACGGTTGCATCGACCTCCGCTGCGCGTCAGTTGATACTTCGCTGTACAGTCTTCGTGCACACTTTGCGGTATCCTCGTAATAACCTCATATGATATCTTATGGATTATAATAGTGAGGATACCTGTTAGACCGAAACAATAAATGATTTGAGTGGGACAAAACTAAAAAAAAATAGTTTTCAGTGTTTGTCTGATCACTGTAATCATGATATTTGGAATATTAGAGATGAGAAAGCAATAGTGGGACAGAAATATAAACAACATGCGTTCAGGATGCACATTTCGTTTGGAACTATCTTTAGTAATTTTAAAACAAGGCAGTGCTCTTAATATTGAGGTGGCGAGTGATAAGCTTTTATCTGATCATTCCTGTGACGCGAGGACACACGTTCATTTACCAAAGTTGATTTAGAATGCCAGCGTGTTCACTTCTCCAAATGGCATTACAAACGTCAAGAGAACAACATTAGGGGAGGGCACCAAACCTATTCGCGTGGCCATCAAACTATGAACAAGGTCTCAGAGGCCAATTCCGAATATAATATATATTTGATTAGTTCCAAATATATTATATTTCTCTATCATCTAAATTATTCTCATGGATGAAGGTCACTTACCAGTTGTCAATCCCGGTGTAGTAACGTCACCACAATGATCGATTGAGCTAGTAGGAGTGATGATTGATTAGTAGAGGGCTGGGAACGTAAATGTGTCTTCAAAATGACACATCGCAATGAATACATGAATAATATAGATATACAACTGTTTCGTGGGCCTATAATGTCTAGCATTGTTAACATCGAACGGGTTCCTCTATGTCGTTATGCAACAGGAAAAGCTCCTGTCACGGAAATAATTTTTCCTAGTTAATTTAATCTTATCCAAGATTTCTGGATAATTTGATTCGAATTCGTAAAACCTAGCCATGGGCGCGAGCGCCTACTTGGAATTAATTATACTTAATAAAAATCATGATGAATAAATAAATAGTTGACCACATTAGATAGATAAACTACACAACAACTTACCTTTGACATATGTAACCCTTGCTACGAGAACATGCAGCATCGTCCCATTGGAAGTTTCGAGAAGTCCTGTACAGTGAAATAGTTATATGTATATTACGTAATTTGTATTTCAGTATATACAGTTTTAAGTATACCACTCATTTAAGTGAAACCTTTTTAACTGAATGATTTCACATATTTTTATATCCAATTGTTTGTGTATATTTTAATTAGTTTTATTGATTATATATTAATTATCTTAGTTTAATATGGTACACAGATACATAATTGGAAGATAATTCACTTTTTTTATATACGTTATGCCATTTAACGCCGAACCATTTCTGTCATAAATGATTAGCCATATTTTGTAGGTTTGTTTTACCTGCAGAACTACAGAACAAGCCACAGTCGGGTGTTGATATTATAGTAGAAAAGTTTGTTTTTATTTATTTTTGCGACACGACGTGCAAATTATTAAAGGTAAAATCGAACATGGCACTATGTCGTCGCTTGTATATTTTGCTCATCGTATGTGCTGTTCAAAGATAATATCATTCTAAAACATACAGACAAAACACGGAGTAAAACGAGTTTTAAGGTGCTTCAGTTGTTACAGTATGAATATACTTTTTATTTTCAAGTCAAACAATGCGATAAATGTTGTACTGACTTTTTGCTTTATTTTAACTTTAAAATGTTTTGCAGATTTAGGACAGAATGAACACAATATATTTTCATCTAATAAATATAGAAATGGCGTAACATATTATTCTAACAATGGCAACAGTACGGTATAATATGTATCAGACAAATGACTACACAGCAAAACGGTTAGTAAACAAACGTTTTGTTCGTGAGGATAGAGTGTCCAATCAACAAATGGTGCACTAGGGTAGTATGGAAAATATGTATGCCAATCTTGTTCTCACAAAAATATAGTGGTTTAAGAAAGTTAAATGTTTTTTTCCTATAACTCTTTTTACATTTACCACAGCTGGCCACAGTCCTGATTTCTAAAATTATTCGGATTGCCTCGTGACCAGCTCGTGTAAACGAATGGGTCACCGTTGATCCATATGTAACTCCCTTCTTGTGAAATGTCATTGAGTCCAATCCAATAGTCAACCAAACCATCGTCTATATTATTATCTATGATGAATTGTATGACACCATCGCTGACGGTACTGGTGCTTAATGAAGCAAGCACCGCACCACGTTTTTCACAGAGTATCTTTGAACTTTCCCATGACTGTGTATCGTTGTACACACGGTATCGAGTGCACCCTATATCAATGTACCGACGATCTGGGCAGATAAAACAGATGCACCTCAAAATGTCAACAATTCAATTACTCAAATAATTGATGAACAAATCAATAAATTATTCAATCAATCAACAATCAATCAGTTAATAATAATAAGTCAATCGATAACCAACCAATCAATCAATAATTCTATTAATAAACGATTAATAGTTGTAAATATAGTTATAGATTATTATATTTTGCGTAATATAAGAACAAAAGTTTAATTTTCAATTGATCTGATCACTATGTATTACCTTGAATAGATGTTGTTAAGATAGTTGCAGTTGTTTGGATGTGTGTAGACATCGACTGGGTGGAAACATCTGCAAGTAAAAATTTAAACTGACATATAATAGCCGTATATTGTGGTGTCTTTATCATGGTGTACAATCTACGGAGTGCTGACCAGAGGTCGCAAACAGTTGCAAGAAAAACACCCCAACACGCCGTGGTCGAACTCTTAACTGATTACGAATATATACACACTGTCCGTTATGGCATGTCGACAGTCCATCTGCTCTATGGATGTTTTCATTAAAAAGGTTTCCCTCATTTGGAAATACACTTCACGTATACGTCACTAGAGAAAACCTTCTTTTGTTTACATCGGACGCGCACAGTCCGAAAACGCATTGATCTTCGCGACGGGTTGATTGATTGTCTTACTGCCTTCGTGCGCACACTGCAGTATTTTTAATTAACCACATAGCAGCGTGAATATCCAGAGTATCTTTTTTTGTGCGTTGATTGCTTTCTTTGTTAAATATAACAAAATAGTTCTGCTGACTTAAACGTAAATGTACACTCTCAATACTGTGCCAATATATTAACTTATTTATTTTATATTTTTTTTGTAAAGACTACAACTTAAGAATGAATATAATTATTTTCTTTATAAAGTTTCCACATTTTTCAATATTAAATAACAATGACGACCCAGTTTCATAAATTTCATGGTGTAATGAAAATCCCATTCATAGAAATTATTGAACAACAATAAATTGGACAATTGGGATTATAGTTCCAAGGCGTCTGTGACAGATCATATAATAATATTTTTGTGTTGTGTATATATCAAACGGTTTAGAGTAATTTGTGTTAAGAACACGTGACATACACGTGTTCAGACTGTAATTTTGAACGTATAAAAAGGCTGTGAAGTTGCTGGAGTATAACATCTTCATGATATTGACAATCCTAATGTTTATAATTGGGCTTGACATCGCCAACCATAATTATTTCTTAAGAAATGTTTTATGATATCTGGCTACGGGAAATCAATTTGTAGTTGTGTGCAAATTATTTGGTAAATCGTAACCTCTTTACCACCAGTACCTTTTTTCATTGACAAAATGGTCCTGTTTATAATCTGCACTTTCCGACAAACGATTGGAACGACAATAACCAAATTTGTTGAATACAAGCTGGATATTGGCCGAAACTTAAATTAGGGTTCATCTCATAAAATATTGAAGAATGTTAAAAAACGTGCACACACATTTGAACAAGAAATTCTGGCGGTGAAAAGAATAACCGCAACAAATAACTATTATGTAAATTAATAAAAAGGCATGGATTCAATTTATATGGTATGTTGAATAATTAGTTCATTGACAAATGATACATACCAGTTGCTAGTTTCATGTCAGTGAACGGCTTTGACGACGTTGCCCATCCCATTGTACTTACGCTCGGTAGTGTCCATTGGACAGTAGTGACAGTGCCATGTGTCTTCATGTCTGTTAACAATACCCATATCAACGTTTTTAACTCACTATATAGACCATTATAACATCGAATGAATAAATATGTTGATTTCATCATGAGAACATTGTACACAATAAAAAATAAATTTGCAAATTGGAACTTGCCATACTGATTTCATACTGAATTATTTCAAGCTACTTGTCTTTTTATCGTTAATGGGTTAACAATTCATTATATAATAATTAATTGTCCGATGTTGCATGTAAAATATTGGCGACGGTGTCCTGCTACTTTTACTAAAAAGATTCTTGAAATCAGTTCACCTCTGTCTATTCACTGGAAAATTGGAACTTACCATACTGATTTTATATTCAATTATTTCAAGGTAGTTGACTTTTTTATCGTTAATGGGTTAACAATTCATTATAGAATAATAGTCGAGTTGTGAGATGTGTTGAAGAGGGAAATTGTTGAGAGAAAACCGGAAGTGGTATCAGACATGAAACCTACTTACACATGAAACTTATTCTAAAAAAATAAAAACTTGTGAAGTTCAGCAACATACATATGAATACAAACATTATCAAAGACATTGAAGATTACTTTTCGAATTCAAAGTCCCAAAAATCATTCTTCGCTGATTTGTCATTAGCATAATAATGAATTTGTAAAATTAATATTGATTTATATAATAATTAATTGTCCGATGTTGCATGTAAAATATTGGCGACGGTGTCCTACTACTTTTGCTAAAAAGATTCCTGAAATCAGACCACCTCACACGTTCTAATAGTATGTGTTTTTGCTGATGATGTTTTGCATACCTGGCTCCAATGTTGTAGCAATAGCAGTCGGCAGTCCCATATCAGTAACAATTGAGCTGGTAGTACTGATCGCTATGTGAACACAAACAAATGTCTAATAAACATTGACAACTATTGTATAAGGTGAGACATTTACAGACTTTTTCTGTTCATATACAAAAGAAAGTATAGTCAAAGTATAGTACGAGGCATGTAAAGTGATCAAAAAATAATGCAGTTATAAAATGGCTAATGTGGTTTTCAAAAATTAATAACAAATTAAATATATTATTAATGCTAATACTTTTGTTGTTATCTATAATATGTTTCAGTTCGGACGACATTAAATATACAAGTATGTATTTATTTTCAATGAAAATTATTAGCCCAAACTTTTATAATTTTAATATGCTGACCAAGTTGTTCACACACCTTGCCCTGTGTCTGTTGTTTGCTTTAAACAAATTACATAATGTAATAATAGATTTGTGTACCTGGTTCGGGTGTTGTAGAAATATATGTTGGTATTCCCATCTCAGTAGTAGCTGAGCCCATAGTAGTAATCTCTATAGAAGAGCATAATGTATACTATTTTATAATATGATATAAGATTCAAACAAATTTCTCAATTAATAAGTAAAATGTATAAACTTTATGTTTGCATTTGCAAATAATGTATTTAAAAAAATATCATATCATTGAATTTAAACCTGGTGCTTTATTGGGTATTTTATTTTTATTTTTTTTTATTTTTTATTTTATTAGCTTTATTGATTTATTGAATCGGTGATGACATATTTACTCCTGTGACATAAAGTGTACTACGCGTTGTTGACAATTTCTGGAATACTGTTTTTTTACTCTACTGCAAAAATGGGGCTAGTTAATAGGGTATATGCATGCAGCAGCGAACAATCAACGCACAATAACATACGCCGGCCCATTGTATTTACTCATGATCAGTAACCAAATACTTTTTTCAGAAACATTTCGGACAAAAAACAACGAAAACAGAGCTGACATGCCAATATACCCTGGTTTCCATAAAAACATGTTTGTTTTTTTTGGAGGGGGGGGGGGCAGATCTGTTTGCAAATTTTCTTTGAATTATTAAGCTCTAATAGCGCCCTGTCACGGGAAATATCTGTCTTATTCACTGTGGTGTGTATTTACACAATTAGGAAAGGCAGTAACTCGGAATATTACTATTACAATGCTTTGAAAGGTGTAAATTAAATCAAACGGAAATATACTATAAATTAATCGAGTCGTGAGATGTGTTGAGAGAAATTGTTGAGAGAAAACCAGAGGTGGTGTCAGACATGAAACTTACATGCACACGAAACTTATTCTTAACAAATAAAAACTTGTGAAGTTCAACAACACACATATGAGTGTTATGTATGGCACAAGTTAAATAGAAAATATTACAAACAGATTTAAATGTATTTTGATTTAGAAATTCAATTAAATAGCGCCCTCCACCGAGTCTGATTAAATGTGGTTTTGGCCGTTGATGGCGTTTTTGAATCCACAATGCTTTGCGTAAGAAAGCTGAGGGTTTTGGTCACTTTTTGGTTTACCGTCGACGTGTGTGGTTGTTTATTTTCCTTTTTATACAAACAAAGTAATTCTCAAGGACATTGAATATTAGTCAAAGCTAAAGTCACAGAAATATAATTCTTCGCTATTTTGCATTAGCATAATAATAATTGTCAAATTAATATTTATTTTAGTTACGACTGTATGTAAAATGATTGGAACAATGTCGAAAAAACATTATTTCTCCAATTTCAAGAGTAAAAGATCATCGCGTCAAAAATATATGTACGACGATTACAAGCGATAAAAAGCGTTGTCTACCTGATACAAGTTTTGCACTGTTTTACTGATGTACATGCTGCCTACCTGCTAGTACCTCTGCAGTAGAAATAACCGTTGTCGGTGCCATCTGAATAGTAGTAGGCATATCTGATGTAGTAATGTCTAGAGAAGAACAGAACTCACAAATATTCAATGCTTTTCAAATCACTGTCAACTTAAGGGGTCTTCTGTATACTCTTGGATTTATGTCAAACCCTCGGTGTCATGTGACTATGTTTACACTGACTTTTAATTCTTGCAGATCTCCAAATAGAACAGCCAAGGAAATCGTCATTAATTTCATCTGGGAGGGAGATATGGTGGCGAACAATTTGTCTTGTTGCAAAACCGCTTTGAGAGCGAGAATGTCACACAAATTATTTTGGTTCCTGAAACCGTTTTTTTTTTACATTGATTATAGTGTTAGCATCATTTGTATTGCATTTTTATTCTTTAAAAGATTCATTTTTTTGTATTTTCTTTAAGTTTTGAAAGTTCCAATTTCTTGTACTTCCTTTAAGTTTTAAATTGTCTGTTTCCAGTAATTGTATTGCTGCTCCTAATTACGTATTAGTAAGCCCTTGATGTAAAAGGGTAGCAACAAATAAATAAAATTGCATACCAAGGTTACATAAGGCCATGGTAACAAAATACTATTTTTAAAGTAAAAATATCACATGGCTTTTTCGCTCTCAGCGATATTTCGGCGTTTCCATGCTTTTAAGATTTTGTTGGTTTTTGCGGTATCACACGACAATGAGAACTCTTCTACTGATTGTACATAATTTAAATTCATCCTCATCGTACAGATTTGACTTTATTGTGTAGTGTACTAGTCAATTGTTTTGTTCTTTTGGATTGTGTTGTGTTCTCGGACCTCGTGAATCACTATATCTAGATTCAGAGTCAATGCAAAGATACTCGCAAGATTATTCCTGATTAGCTACCTATTGCCCTAGCAACATTCAGACCAATCAGAAAGCGATAATATATAATGCCAATGTATCACGTGACATATTACCTGATTTAATCGTTGTCATACCAAGAGTTGTTTCTTCCAGCTCTGTATTTCTCTCTACGGAAATCAAGAAATACACAAATTAAAATACAGATCAGGCGTGTGTATCGCTCTTTATTGGTTTGAAGATACTAGATCGCTCAACCTTTAATAACCACGACATATTGGTTACTTGATGCACCTGCAGACCTTAACCAAGGTTCCTCAGGAGTCGCATAGTAAATGAATCTCGGCCAGCGGAATTGGCATTCTTATTGCGTCTGTGGCACACTAACCCAGGGTAGGGGTTGACCCACTAAACTCCATTGACCGGTTTTCATATTGGTTACTTATACTCATCTCAATCTCTGCCAGTGGAATTGGCATTTTTATTGCGTCTGTGGCACACTAACCCAGGGTAGGGGTTGACCCACTAAACTCCGTTGACCGGTTTTCATATTGGTTACTTGTACTCATCCAAAAATGTAAGTTGACGACCATTTTTATGATGATTTACTACTGTTGTGTTTTTCAATATTATACAATTGTTTTTGCGTTCATCAAAAAGGTCTTATGTGTTTGATTCTATTGTTTGCATTTATATAATTGTACAACTGCCAAATACGTATTGATCGGCTATTGACATATTGACACATTTTTTGTTACATTATATCGTTGTCTTTATCTGTTCTGTTAGTTAATTAAAAATGTCATATATACCTTGCTCCAGTGTAGTTGGAATGTTCGAACTGTATTGAATTTTCATATCTGTGGCGAAAACGCTTGCAGTATACGCAAGTGAACTTCCATCTATGAGAGAAATAATAATGAGAATTGTGCGGTTATTTGGTTATTTGGCTAATATTTGGTGATTGTTTAAGAAGCAGTGGTTTGACTTGTGACTAGTAGCTTCAGTCTACGTTAGGAGACTGCATCTTTTTACCAACATATCATTGTATAGCAAATGCACAAATAATATACAATACTGTGCACAATGTCATTGACATTGCAGTCGCATTGTGTATATCACAATATAAACTGGTCAATAAGTGGGTTTTATTTATTAAATTTCTATTTAAATGTCTTTTTCTTGTACTCAAGACTTCCGAGATCTCGTTGAAGGCGAGAATTCACGTGATTTGTTTTGTACTTCTAATGCTATTCCACTCAGTATTCCGCTGATCAATATAATCATGGTATTCCCGCGTTGAACGAGATCTCGACGGATATTTGGTTTTGGTATAATAGTCTCTGTATGGTAACTGTAATACATTAATTTCTGCCTGTTACATGTACCTGACAGTGTGTGAGAATGACGCATGCTAATTTTGTTCTCTATTCCCAAACATCACATCCGTTACAATAAGAACATCATTTGATGTATCTGGATGGGTCTATTGTCTCACCATTCAGTATGCGAAATACACATTAGAATACGGGTCAACTGCTTTTTGCGTTTTTACCCCAGGTATGCTTTGAATACCGCATTAATCCGTACTTTACGGTCGACTGGTTATCTATGTGTATTTTTATTCATTGCTATTTATTGGCTAAGAATAATATATTCTGCAAACGGATGTGAAAGGTCACAAATTAAGTGATACAAACAGTTTGCGGAAAATTGAGGTAACATTTCAACAATTTCTTGGAATTATAGTAATTCGAAAACCATGAAATCATTCCCTTACATGGGTAAAATGCCTGCCTATAGGGTCCCTCTAGGAATAATCCTACTGTTTTCGTACACACACACTTGCACGAATAAAACAAATTCCTTCAGACGCTATCGAGATTTATATTTGACTGGACTAGAAATCTTGACAACTCATGACAACTATATAGTTAAATATACAAACACGAAATGAAACGTGAATTATAGTTCTACGTCACCTACTCTAAAAATAGGTCTAGATCGCACGTGTGATCGTGGTCAGAGTGTTCCACATGTACAGTAGCAACATGACTTGAAAAATATAAATACGTGAAAAGATCGTCATACAACACTGATACCCGCATTAATAATTCATACAATATAAAATATAACAGAAAATAACAAAATAATAATGGACAACCAAATATATGACTGACATATATCTTCAAGAAATTAACAAATCATTGAGAGAACTATATATTAATGTACCTACCTACGTGACTGAGTGTATTTACCTGATTTTATCGTAGTCGTCATATCAAATGCAGAACCCGCATCGGTGGTGAATATAGTGGTGAAATTCGTACTGGTATCTGAAGATTGAACATTATATATGCATTAACATGTATACACTATGCAACTTACTGTACATGTCTTAAATTCATCTTCATCTTACTGGTTTGACTGTTTTGTGCCGTGTACTAGTGTGTTCTTATGGTTTGTTGTGTAGATTATAATCAGTGGAGTGTTTTGTGTTCTCGGACTTCTTCAGTTCCTAGATTAGAGTCAAAGGTAATGCAAAGCTATTTGCAAGATTGTTCCTGATTGGCTACCTACTTTTAACATCTAACAGTCAGACCAATCAGAAAATAGCTTGTTTTGTTTTTCTGTATTGTTGCGTATGTTATTGCAACTTCTATCAATGCTAAATAAGGAAGGATGTCAAGTGTGGTTGATTATTTTAACTCATGCAATTTACACATTCGTAGAATCGAGGAATATAGAGTGATACAGTAAAATATAGCCATACTGAATACGGTATTACAAAGTGACAACAC